GCATGGCATGTACATATATGCCATGCCCACTGTGAGTTGTTTATTTGTTTTTAAACATAGATGGCTACACTTATTCTAAATCACCAATGAGCCAGTTACAATTACTGCCTGTCTCGCCCGTTTACCCTTTTCTTTAATTTACAAAAATATTTTACGTTATCTTATTTTGCTATAACTAATGTTTGTAACATTATAGTAATTATAATGTTTATAATAAAAATAACACCATCGATATTCATAGCACTAGGAAAAAATACATTTTCCCGCCAAATCAAGGAAAGGTGAAATCATAAAAATCAGTCATCTATGAGCACAGCATTTTCCCCATTTTTTCATGCCTGCTTTTGTGGCCAGGCTTTTAGGCACACTAGAGAATGTCAATGAACATCCATGTATATTCTAGTAAGACAGACCTTGGAGTGGTTTCTTATATAAAGGTGAATTGCCATAGAGATCTACAAGAGCTCTATAACTCCTAAACACAAAATCTGACTAGCTGTAAAAGGCTTGTTCCTGTATTCTTCCAGAGGACTCTGTATGACCTAGTAGGTACAGAGGAAACTCAGTATTCATTTGACCACTTAACCCATTCGCCCCAGATTTATGTTCTGTCCCCTGTAGTTTTTGGTGAATTTTGTTACCTACAGATGGCTCCACATGTGCTCAGCCGGCAAGGAGTCTATCAGTAGGCCCTAGTTACTGATCCTGATTTTCCCATTCCTTGAATTGACGGGAAAATGTGTTTTTCTTATTAACACCAATGTTATCAATACTGTTATTATCATTATTGATGCTATGGTTATTAAATTGTTATTAAAATATTTTAGACAATGAAATGATACAAAAGACCCTTTCCTAAAGTGTAGGAAAAGGGTAAACAGGTGAGATAGGTAGTTCTGATAACAGGCTATTTGGTGATTAAGAACTTGTAGAGCCATCCATGCGTAAATACAATAAATATATGTGAGCAAGGCATGTATTCTTGCCACATGGGGTGAATAGATTAATTCTTGAAGAATAAATTGACAAACAAAAACTGATATTGTAGGTAATGTGGTACAGGGTCAGTTGGTGTGAGTCATAAAAGTCAAGTCTAGAGTACCTGAAAGCACTCATCTCAACAATTAAGCCCATCAGCCAGGGGTTGCATGGTCACATAACCTTTATCTACCAATCTGATGCTAGCTTAAGGGGCAGAAAGGATGGGAGGTTTGTGTAAATGATATGTCATTAAAAGATTATTATTTCATGCTCACTACATTCATGAAAAGAGTAGAGAAAAGCAATTGTTTTAACTGTTCTTATAGCTAAAGGAGGAGAAGACCTGTAGGGGCAATAGTGGTTAGGGATTACACAGGTAAGCAGCTTGCTAGTTTCTGACAGATTGGGCAGAATATTACAATTGTGGCACACAAAATGCAACAAACTACAAGTGGGGCAAATTAGACTCCAAGCCAGCAAAGACCAGCCACATGCCACTGCATATATTCTGGCTATATAGAGCTAATTATCAAAAGTTTTTCTCTTTCTCCATCCTAGATGCTCCAGCAGAAATGTGCAAACTGCCTTAATGAATATCAGATTTTTCCTTATTTCTCAATAAGTTACCAGGGAGGTCTATAAGTTATTCATGTATGAATATATGTGGTAGAAGTTTGATAGCACTTGCCAGCACATTAATTGGTGAGAAGACTTCTGCATTTGGCCAATTGGTAATTGGAAGTCACACTGATGTCTCCAACATTTATTAACCATTCTTTGCTGTAGTAGAACCAATCCATAGATAGGTTTTACTAAACCAGGAATATATGTAAGGCCATACAGAAACTATGAGTTAGAATTATTTCTAGATAAATATTACTAATAAACCCACATAACTTTCATAATGCAACTTACTTGTTGTATTACGTTGGGCATACTCTGAATTCATTTGAAATTTGTCGTGATACGTGATGGAAGTGGAAGGTCTAAGTCTAACTGTGTTCCATCATATGCAGTAAACCTCCATCATATAAATTCTGGCAAGATAGCTATTTGGCACTTTGAATCAACAGAAAGCTAGTAGGTTTAATTAAGTAATTTCAGAATGTTGACTTGTGCTAGGTAACATTATCCATAATTATTGACATCATAGAAGGATAGTGTAAAAGAAATCAACCTCATTCATAGTCTTCTTTTTGTATCAATCCATTAATGTAGTGTTCATTCTACTACTGTTTGGTGAAATATCTCTAAACATAAAAGGTTCCACAAGTACTTAGCTAGAAGGTAGTCAATTAGTCAACCTCATGGCCGCACCTGATTTCACTTTTCCTTGAGTTTTCAGGGAAATTTATTTATTTGTTTTATTTTATTATCATTACTTTTTTATACTAATGTTATCCATAGCAGTACTGTTATTAGTAATTTAGGCATAGTAATATAATGGGTAATATGATATAATTGATATTATGTATATATATATTTTTTTTTTTTTTTTTTTTTTTTTTTTTTTTTTCCAAAAATATTTCCAGAAATCTAGGAATAGGGTAAATAGGTGAGACAGAGTAGTACTAGTAATTGCCTCATTTATTTCTAAGTACTTATGGAGTCGTATATGTGAAACAACAATTGATAAACTAAACTTACAGTGGGCATGCCTTGTATGTACATGACATCTCTGGCAGGTTAAAAGTAGAGTGGTCATAGATTACAAAGCAAAGTGACAATGCATTTAAACTGCATTTCATTATTAAAGGAAAATGCTTAAGAAATTGCTTTTATTTCATAATAGCTTGGTATTCGTGTGGATGGACGGGGCCGGCTGGACTACAGACAACTCGAAATAGAGACCGGAGTAGTTTCCACTGCCAATGGGTCAGCAAGAGTAAGACTTGACAGAACAGATGTCTTGGTCACAGTGAAGATGGAAATAGAGCGTCCACTACCAGATCAACCAGAAAATGGCAGAATCCACTTCTTTGTCAACTGGTGAGTAATATACATATATTCTGTTGAGTGCATTCCGTAATTTATCTTTTAATTTTATTGCATTTAGTTTTGAATCTTACATGAAGTAAGTGGCCGTCACAATTTCAAATAAACTTATGCCAGATACAAACAAGCCTGGTATATTATATGTTGTTCATCACTTCTTTTGATATCTGATATTTGATAATATATTGCTGGATTGTGTATATATACCAACATGTCACATATCATCCTTAAGAATAATATGAAACTCCTTTTACCTGTGAAAAATTGCATTTACTTACTAAGGACTGAGGCTTCCTTTTTGCCCTTCTATGGGCACTATTAGTACTGAATTATTGTACCTCTAAAGTCTTAGATATCGTGATTTATTTGTCTTTATTTTTATTAACATACTGTATCCAGATGCCTCCCTGCCCACACTAAGAGACTATCCCAGGTGTGTGGCTTGTAGGCCCAGCCCACATGTGCACATTGTGCACAATGTTGAGACTCTACATTCCCTTTGCATTGTTATTATATCTGTTCTTGCATAAGCATTTTTTGCCATTATCCCATTCTTCAAGGTCTTTATTTGTAATTTGATACATGTTTCAGGATAGCAATAAACTGTTTTCCATGTACAGACTCTACAACTCTGCAATAATAATAGTAATAAGTATGTCTTTTTTTTACATTTTCATATCATTCAGTATTTTGAAACAAACCCAATGCCACTGATCATGGTGGGCAGGAATAGGATCCTGATCATGGAAATAGTATCTTCACTGGAGCCAGCACTCTTCCATGCATAGCTCATAGGTGGTACATTCCATCTTCATTTACCACTGAATATAACATACTGCCCACTGAGTTTAATCTACCTCCAAGATCTCTGTGCAGTCCTGTCACCCCAGCCTCCTGCTGAATTTTTCATCACATTATATTCCCGTCACACCAGCCCTCAGCCAAATTTTTCCCATCACTCAGCCCTCAACTGAATTTTTTCATGACATGATGGTCAATGTCAGCCAGATTCAATTGTATATATTTTTACATAATTATATAATCAAAACATTGGGGAATAATAAGTTGATGTAGATATTGTTTGACAGCATACTTTGATTTCCCCCTCCCCCTAAGAGTCATGCTAAATCGTAAAGTAAGGAGCAGTGTATATTTTTCGTTGTTTCTATCAAAGAGACATTTTCATTCCAAAATAAATATGTTAAAAAAGCATTTTATTTTATTTGTGAAAACACAGGTGTATTTTGCATTCTAACAGAATTTTTTTTGTCTTTACTGTTGCCATTTTCATTTTGAAGAAAAAAGTCTATGAGGACACATGAAGATTTTTACTTGAACTAATGAATTCCTTTTATAGACAGGATATATAACTAGCTTCCTTACAAAGTTACTATGCAGTTAGTACAGCTGATTCACTATTGAAATTAGGCGATTTGGCATTTTCTTTGTTAAAGTTGATTATAAGCAATACATTAAATTTACACAATGAACTAAAAGGAGGTAAGTCAAGGTAATATTTGTATCAAGTAAAGGGACTTTTCTTTTTCATCTTCTCATCCTCATCCTCATCTTCCACTTTGCTGCATAGTGAGTTCCTTTGAAGTTTCAAGTATTCACTTTCCTTCACAGTTCTGCAAATGCCACCCCAGAGTTCGAAGGTCGAGGTGGAGACGACTTGGCCACAAGTTTGAGTGCCATGATGGAACGTGTATATTCTTCCCCACACACTCTTGACAGATCGAAGTTGTGTGTCGTGAAAGGGAAACATGTTAGAGGGCTGTATATTGACATTGAGGTGAGTATTTACAGATTTTTCTAACTGTTTCGTACTTTTCATTTCTTTTCTCTTTTCTCTTTTCTTGTTTCCTACTCTTAGCTTTCTTTCTGTAATTGCTTCTTTCCATTTTTGCTTTTCCAGTTCTTTTTTAAAAGAAATGTGAAGGCCTCTTGAATGAATATTTTGAAACATGATAATTATGTTTTGTATTTTGATCCAGTGACATTTAACCCAATGCCGAGAGGGAAAATGAACAAAAAATGAGGAAAATGCTGTGCCTATTTTCTATACTTTTTTGTTAAATGTCTGCCCATGGATGGCTCTGTTAGTGCCTGATTTGAAATGGCGGGAAAAACGTATTTTTCACTAGTGCCATGAATATCGATGGTGTTATTTTTATTATAAGCATTATAATTATTATAATGTTTTTTAACATTAGTAACAGTAAAATAAGATAACGTAAACTATTTTATAAATCAAAGAAAAGGGTAAATGGGCGGGACAGACAGTACTCGTAACTGGCTCATTGGTGACTTAGTACAAGTGTTGCCATCTGTGTGTAAAAACAATCAAACAAGTAACTCACAGTAGGCATATCACATATGTACACGTCATACCCATCGGCATTGGGTTAATGTAATGCTTATTTTTTTGTATATTCATGATGCATTTCGGTCTTTCTTCAGCCATATATTTCTATAATATATTTTTTTGGCATATTTATTGTTCCTGTTTTACATAGTACTTGCACAAATGTTAAATTTGAAAATAACTGTAGGATTAGTAAATATATCTACCCCATTTCAATTTTTGAATGTGTTGTTGTTTTCTGGATACTGAAGTATCCAGGTTTTGACAATTTTTTGGTAGTGGATTATTATCCCAGCAGGGTTGGGAAATAATCTCAGCATTTTAGCCACAGCACAAGGGTTAATATCAAAGTCACCTAAACAAGATAAAAATAGAAATGTGAAAGTGACATTTTTCCCCCATGTCTTTGAATTTTGAGAAACTGATTATTGTTTTTCAATAAAAGCATAGAAATGTGTGTTTATGCTGATTTTGGAAGGCTGTGGCTCAAGAACATGACCACCATTATAAAAGTGCTACTGGTATTGTCAATGACCCTCACCATTGCATATAGGCTATACCTGTTATATACAGCAGCTTTGGGTTAAAGGAAAATTGTTTATGATAAAAATATGATTACAGTACATTTACTGTCTTGTTAACCCATTTGCCCCATGTGGCAAGAATACATGCCATGCCCACTGTATTACACATTTATTTATTGTATTTACACATAGATGGCTCTACAAGTTCTTAATCACCAAATAGCTACTTTATCAGAACTACATATCTCACCTGTTTACCCTTTTCCTTCACTTTAGGAAAGGGTCTCATCATTGTATCATTTCATTGTCTACATTATTTAATTTAATAATCATAACATCATAAGATCGATAGCAATGGTATTAATAAGAAAAACACATTTTCCTGTCAATTCAAGGAATGGGAAAATCAGGATCAGTAACTAGGGCCTACTGATAGACTCCTTGCCGGCTGAGCACATGTGGAGCCATCTGTATGTAACAAAATTCACCAAAAACTACAGGGGACAGAACATAAATCTGGGGCGAATGGATTAATAGTGCAATTTCTTCTACTATGCTTTCAAGATTTGATGAAACTTTATATCATTTTTACAGAGAAAAGAGTAAATTCTGAATACATATGTATATAGAACATTAATGAAATAGATAAAAAAAACAATATTAATAAATAATTAAGTAAATAAATAGAGAAACAACCAGAAGAAAGATAACTAAACTCCAACCTTCTCTTGTCCATACATATTACAGATCTTGGAGTGTGGAGGGAACCTGTTTGATGCCATCAGCTTAGGTGTCAAAGCAGCACTGTGGGCCACAAAGATGCCAAAGCTCTATATCACAGGAGAAGATGGAGGGGAGCTAGAGTTTTCTGTGTCAGATAATCCACATGACATTGATAGAATAGATGTGTCCAATGCACCTATTCTTATCACCCACTTAAGAGTAAGTAAAAGAGAAGTTGCCCATTCCATTTTTTGTTAGTGGATGAAAGCTGTAGCTTTTAATGTAATTGATAGTGTACTTCTACTTCTTCATAGTCTATAGTAATGAGGATGATTTTGGCTTTGTGCGACAAGTCCTTCATTTCTTTCTTGATGTTCTAATTAGTAATTTAATCCCCTCATGCCAAATGACATCTCACCACATAGTGAAACATTAACTCATGCCAGGTGACATCATGTGCATAATTGAGCCTATTCTGTGTTATGTGCACTAAGTGATTTTTCACTTGTTTGTTCTAAACTGTGGTCACTGAGGAAAAACAGGCCCTCAAAAGTAGATGCAAAGCCTCTTTTGAAAAATAAAAAAATGTTTTTTAAAAAATTAATTTCTGTCACAGTCAGGAGCATAGAGTGAAGGTTGAGTGTTGTTATGTAGGCTTCTAATTTTTCGATTAAGTGGCTGACTGTATCAAAGCCCAGCATGTAGCACAGAGTGGAGCCAGGAACTCCTCTTCCTACATAATAACCATCCAAAAAAATATATGTATGTGTGTGTGTGTGTGTGTGTGTGTGTGTGTGTGTGTGTGTGTGTGTGTGTGTGTGTGTGTGTGTGTGTGTGTGTGTGTGTGTGTGTGTGTATAACAAATATGCTAGAATTGGAATCAATCAAAATATTTTTAAAGTATTGTACATATTAGGAACCCATTCAAAGCTTTAAATTTTAATACAGAATGGAAGCATGTAAAATCTGGAAAAATCAGTAAAGTCATGTATTTTCCATTAATCTTAACACATTGCAAGAGATATGTTTCAATATAGTAAATACTGCAACAGGATTACATTCATTTCATAATCAAGAATACTAATTGCAATCAGTTTGCTCATAATGACAGGTGCTTGTAAGTCATTGAGAAGCTTTAAAGACAGGGAATCCCACATTACTGATAGGTGGGTTGTCTAACTTCATTGCTTTTTTTTGTCTTGTTTATAGATAACAGAGAATTTGACCGTTGTTGACCCCACACCAGAAGAGGAGTGTTGTGGACCAGTTCGTGTTGTAGTGAGTGTTACACCACAAGGTTTCATCACAGCAACACAACAGTTTGGTTCCGGGACATTTAACCCACAGACTTTAACTGCATCTTTAAAGGTAAGTAATGTTTCATGTGGCTTATTAGTGGCTTTATCATGTGAAGTTATGATATTTACTAGTAATGATGATATTAAAAATAGTTGTAATATTGGGATTCTTATCTCTCTCTCTCTCTCTCTCTCTCTCTCTCTCTCTCTCTCTCTCTCTCTCTCTCTCTCTCTCTCTCTCTCTCTCTCTCTCTCTCTCTCTCTCTCTCTCTCTCTCTCTCTCTCTGCCCCCCCTCTCTCTCTCTCTCTCTCTCTCTCTCTTTCTGCCGCCCCCTCCTCTCTCTCTCTCTCTCTCTTTCTGCCCCCCCCCCTCCTCTCTCTCTCTCTCTCACACACATATTCTCTCTTTCTGCCCTCCTATCCCCCCTCTCACTCTCTCTCTCTCTCTCTCTCTCTCTCTTTCTGCCACCCCCTCCTCTCTCTCTCTCTCTCTTTCTGCCCCCCCCCTCCTCTCTCTCTCTCTCTCTCTTTCTGCCCCCCCCCCCTCTCTCTCTCTCTCTCTCTCTCTCTCTCTCACTCTCTCTCTCTCTCTCTCTCTCTCTCTCTCTCTCTCTCTCTCTCTCTCTCTCTCTCTCTCTCTCTCTCTCTCTCTCTCTCTCTCTCTCTTCCTCTCTTTCTCTCTCTCTCTCTCTCTCTCTCTCTCTCTCTCTCTCTCTCTCTCTCTCTCTCTCTTTCTTGTTTTTTTTTTCTCTCTCTTGTTTTCTCTCTCTCTCTCTCTCTCTCTCTCTCTCTCTCTCTCTCTCTCTCTCTCTCTCTCTCTCTCTCTCTCTCTCTCTCTCTCTCTCTCTCTCTCTCTCTCTCTCTTGTTTTCTCTCTCTCTCTCTCTCTTGTTTTCTCTCTATCTCTCTCTTTCTCTTGTTTTCTCTCTACCTCTCTCTTTCTCTTGTTTTCTCTCTATCTCTCTCTTGGTTTCTCTCTCTCTCTTTTGTTTTCTATCTCTCTCTTTTGTTTTCTCTCTCTCTCTCTCTCTCTCTCTCTCTCTCTCTCTCTCTCTCTCTCTCTCTCTCTCTCTCTCTCTCTCTCTCTCTCTCTCTCTCTCTCTCTCTCTCTCTTGTTTTCTCTCATGTATGTAATATTAAGCACTAGCATTGTGATTAAGTACTAGCAAATGGATGTTCTTATGATAATTAGCTATTATTACTGATTTATTATGATTATCTATTGCTGCCCTGTTGGCCTCTTGAATAAAACTATACTAAATAGCAAAATTAGTCCTGAGTTATAATAACTTATTACATTTCTTTCTTTGCAAGAGCGCACGAGACCTTGGTCAGAAAATCCACAGTCGACTCCTCAGAAAATTGCAACAGGAAGAACAGATGAGTGACAGACAAGTGAAAGGATTCCTGTAGTTTTTTGCAAAGGGGAAAAAACTATTTTATAATAAAAATTTTGCTCACCTGAATAGTGTTTTATTTATCTTATTCACAGTGTTTAGACTGAAGGAGTATGTTTTAAGTCTTTTTACAGAAAGTTTGTGAAAGATGTTTTGATTGGGAATTAAAGTAATCAAAGAAAGGGCAACTGAAGGTAGGTAAACATTGCTTATATATTGTTTACACACAAATAGCTCCACAAGTACTTAGTCACTAGGGAGTCAATTACTAGACTACCAGTGCTCACTCAATTACCATACATTAAATTTTTAGGAAAAAAAATATTCCTATTACAGTGATCACTCTTATTCATAGTAGTAGTAGGTAGTAGTAATAGTACTAGTGTTATACTTGTTATCATAACATTATTAACGTTACCCATATTTTAAAAATGGGATAAATGTTGAAGTTAGGAAAACCTACTAATTGACACGTTGGTGACTGTTAGCCTCTGGTGGCTATGTGTTCCTAGTAAAACACACAGCAGACAGTGCAAATATACATTACTCCTAGCATCAGAATTTGAAAATAGAATGAAATTACATTTAGGAAGACTAAACAGGCAAACCATGAAATCCCCAATATCTCCTTCAGGAAGATTAGGAGTGGGAGGCGGCTTTAAGCTCATACCTAGCCTACAGATCATTTAAGTTTAAGGACAGCTCTAATGACTAAAAGAAGAACAAAAATGAGTAGACGAACAATATGATTATGAATATTATTTCATTTACATGACCTCACCTGATTTCCCCTTTCCTTCAGTTTTTGGGACAAATGGTTTATTTTTTAATGCTCTTACTATCAATGTTTCTGCTATTTTTATTAACAATAAGATTATTATAATCATATAATATTGGGATTTTTTTTTTCTTTTTTTTTATCTAAAAACCAAGTAAAAACGTAAACATAAGATACTTAGAAGTATTGATTGACTCCTTGGTAATTAAGGTCTTGAGAAGCCATCTATTTTTAAATGCTGTTAGTAAATTAAATACACAAGGCATGTCATATATGCACATGCCATCTCCAGTGACATGGGTTACCTGAATGATATTACTTCAGTCAAATATTGCAAGGAGAGTTTTATGACAATATCTTATAAGACGTATTGTCACAAGGTCACATTTTATCACATTCATCCAATAGATCCAGGTGCTTCTAGGCTTGCACATAGACCAAAATCCTTGCATTGAGCTTCCTTAACCCATTGCCGCCGGGGAAAATGGACAAAAAATGGGGAGAATACTGTACTCATTTTTTATATTTTTGTGAAATATGTCTGTCCATAGATGGCTCTGCTAGTCCTGATTTCACCTTTCCTTAAATTGGCGGGAAAAAACGTATTCTTACTAGTGCTATCAACATAGATGGTGTTATTTTTAACAGCAAATTAGAATAATGTTAAATATTTTCGTATATCGATGAAAAGGGTGAACGGGCGAGACAGGCAGTACTCGAACTGGCTCATTGGATACTTAGTACAAGTGTAGCCATCTATGTGTAAAAACAATCAAACAAGTCGACTCAAAGTGGGCATGGCATGTACGTACATGCCATCCCCGGCGGTAATGGGTTAAGTGGTGACTCTCGCAAGTGTACACGAAGTGGTAGTGCTTTTCATCAAATTATTGTAGAAAATTCGTTATTTTTTTGTTTTTGATATAGAGTCATAGTTGGTTACAAAAAAAGACTTTATATATGTGTGGGTGTGGGTGTGGGTGTGGGTGCGTGCGTGTGCGTGTGCGTGTGTGTTTGCGTGTGTTTTTCTTTTTCTTTTCTTTTCTCTTTTTCCAAGATGCTTGATAACAACTCTTAGAAACTTGCACTAGTACATAGTCCAATTGTGTTTTTAAAAAATTATTTTATTTGAGTTCATTTTCTTTTGAACGTCAATCACAGAAAATGAAGTATTTTAGCACAGACTACTTTATTATGATACATGGTTGTTGAACACAGCACAGATGATGAAAATATTAAAATCATCAACAGCAAATGCATTCAAGGAGATTGTTTATCAAATAATCCCAAACAAAACTAAGAAACAGTTAAATAATTACTCTTGTAAAATCTTAAAACCTAGACCTAAAGATTCTTTAGGTCGCAACACGTGGCCGAAGATTATTACACGTTCTATTGAATCTTAAAGAATCTAGAGAATCTATTGAATCTTATAAGAATCTATAGAATCTTTAACTTGGCGGAAGATTCCAAAAAACTATGTAAAAAAGGGAAGAAGAAAAAAGGAAGACTTGACTGAGATTATCTACGTCTTTGGCCTGGATGGCTTTGTGGTTTGTGTAATGAGGTTGATGTATTTTTTTAAATGGAGATGAGAGTATTTGTTGGTTTACTTGTTTACTTGTTTACTTGGATCTGTGGGTTATGTGTGTTATTTCATCGTTGTGTTTTGTTTGCTTGTGTTTGATATTATGGAAGATACTTTCGTCTGAATTACTGTGTTCTGCTATTCAAGTACATTTCTCCAGCATAGGGTATTAGATAGTTACCATATATTTTCTAGCTTAACAGATCCTGTAGACTTCTCTGGTAAGGTATTAGTAGGGAAACGAAGGTCTAGTTTACTAGAATTCCGGGAGCGTGGACGTTTCTTAGCCTTTGCTAGAGCATAGAAGGCACGGACGCCTTAAGGATCCCCAGATGGCACCACTTGGAGGGTTGCCTTTGCCCATTCAACCACGACTATGATAAGCTGTAAAGCCAGTAATGACAGTCAAATTTTTGGGAAAGTTGGGTAAGAACAGACATACATTAGGGAGGACATAGCTTAAGACTGTAGAGCTCAAGAGACTCGTAGATCAGGACATAGATGCATAACGGGATGAAGCTTTACCCAGCGTCTAGGATTACCCACCGTAGAGGGATAGCACTTTGCTGGTAAGATCAGCGGGTTCAGTATAATTACAAAGTATAGTACCAATCCACTGCAACTGTCTTATCAGTTGAGAGGACGGCAGTATCATCCTGAAAACCTGAAGAAGGAACACAATCCCTGCACGGAATACTAGTTCCCCCCTCCCCCCCCCCTTTTTTTTTCTTGCTTTCTCTCTCTGTTATGATGAAGTATATTAGTGCCTTTTCTCAGATATTGAATATATGTATGTAAATACATTGGTCTTGGTTCAGAGTAAGACTAAGTTTATGACTGACAGGTTCTCTATATTACCACTTCTAGGAGTAGGTGGGACCTTAATCACTTTCCTTACTATAGAGGCCAAAACTGCCAGACGATAGGTCACTTCAGTCCACTTAGCCATTGACTCAGTATCACTATCTTGGCATAATTTGATTGAGAGGTTGAGGAGCTCTAGTGTGCAGTAATATATGTGGCAGAAGTTTGTTGGCCTTTGCCAGAGCACCAGTTGTGAGGCCATTGGTGAAAACATAAACTTTAATATAAAAAAAAAAATCAAATTAAATTTAAAGCTCTAGTAATTAATGTCACTGTATCAGCTAAACCTAATCCAGTCTCATCTCGCTTAGAAAAAAATAATTTAATGTAATTGCAATAGTCTATTTAAAAATGATGGCCAAACTTTTCCTTTTCTTTCATTCTTTTTTTCCTTCTTCCTTCTTTCCTTTCTTTTGCTGCTGCTGCTTTTTTTCCTTCTTCCTTCTTTTGCTTCTTCTTTTCTTCCTTTTTTTTTCTTTACTTTTTCCTCTCTTTTCTTTTTCTTCCTTTTCTTCTCACTCTTTCTCATTCTTTTTCTTAATTTTTGTTTTCCTTTTTCTTTTTCTATTTCTTCTTGTTTTTCTATTTCATTTTTTTCTTCTCTTCTTTCTTCTTTTACTTTATCTTCATTTTCTTTTTTATCTTTTCTTCCATTTTTTCATCTTTGCATTCTTTTTCTTTTTCTTCTTTTTTTGTCCCCCCCCCCCCCAATCGCTTGCTTTTTGTTGTGGGGGGTCTTAGACTGGGGTCCAGAGAAGGGATCACCCCAAGCTTGGACCTCAGCCATCGCCTCAACTAATTTTGCATGGTCTTTTCATCTCCCCCTATCCTTTCCTTCTCTTCTTCATCATCCCCTTCTGTCCACTTCCTAAGGTGTGAGAGCCTTGCTGAAAGGATGAAAGGCTGGCTTTGTGTCAGTCATGAACAGCCTCCAGGAACCATGGGTATGGTATTCCCTTGGATAATTGTCTAGCCCTTACCCCTCATGGGAACCATACCCTTCTCTTCTAACAATGTCCCCATAAACAAAAAGGCAAAGTTTCCTTTCACTGTCATTCCGATCATTCATTGCTCATCACAGTTACATCCCGAGCTCGTACACTATCTACCTTGACTGACCTCTCTGGTAAACCTATTCCTGCTCAACCTCACTCCCGTAATACTTGTACCGGAACTGTTTCTGTCTCTCCGGCTGACTGTCCTGCCTACTACAAGGACTGGTCAGATTGTGAAAAACGACTTGCTTGCATGCTTCTTTGACTATGATGCAGTGTCAGTCCAGTGCTATACTATTCCTCCCAGAGGCCAACTCAAGTTCTACACCAGTACTGCCAAGATTAGCTTCCATAGACATGACCTTCCCCAAAAAGTTTATATTGGTGGAGTACCCTGCCCTATCCGACCATATTGAACTCTTCCCTGTAACTGTCAAAATGTTGGCGTTTGGCTAACCAGCCAAACACTATTGCTCCATAGCCCACTGTCCTTTATGTGCCCAACCTGGTCATGACCATTCAAATTCCTCTGCACACTCAAGCTCGCGTGCCAGTTGTGGTGACTTAATGTATTTTATAGGAGCTTCCCTGCCTACAAGCTCAAATGTGAGGTAGCAGTTCTCAGATTCAAACTAGGCCTTGCTCTATGTGAGGCCAGACAAGAAGTATGCTGACATGGTTTTTCTCTTTCTACCTATTCTTAAACTCCACTTTGCTCCACTCCCCTTCAATCTTCTCAAGAAGTCTCAGCACCTCTCCCAATATCTCTTCCCTCTACCCAGAACCAACCTATTTCTACTACCTCTCTCCCCCAGTCAAATTCATTTTCCAATCTCTACCTCTTAGCTGGTGCCTATCCCTCCACCTCCCCCTTCTCACTCGACCTGTTGCACCTGACAAACTAAACATTCCACTCCATCTTTTCCTATCATATCCTCACCTACACCCACCTCTCTCTCTGCTCCTCAGACATTTATTCCCTCTTCTCCTCCACATAAGAAAACCTTTGTTTCTCTGACCTTTAGACTCGACTCCCCTCCAGAAACTCTTAAAGACATCCAAAAGTTCATAAACATGACTCAAGAGTAAAAGTATCTGCCAATATGCATCATCATCATCCTCAAGTTCCTCCTACTGTGTTTGCTCCCCAACTATACTCTTTTCACTAACATTCTGTCCTACAGTGTTCTGCAACATTTGACATCTAATACATCTTATCCTGATCATTAACTCATTTCCACCCTTTTTGCCACAGTACTTTACCATAATACTGTATGAACTTTGATGTCTAGTACATTTATTTCTCCTAACCATTATTAATTCTTCTTTTTTATCTTCTCCTCCTTCTTCTCCCAAGAGAGAGAGAGAAGAGAGGAAGGGTGGGAGAGATAGACAGAAAGAAGAGAGGGAAGGAATGAGGGAGAGAAAAGAGAGGGAGTGAGGGAGAAAAAAGAGAAGAGAGAGAGGGAGGGAGGGAAGGAGAGAGAGAG